GCTCGGTCACTGGCGGAGGCGGAAGGAGGCAGTCCTCCTGGCAGGGCTTTTCTCCAAGCGTGGTACTTTCGTTTTCTTGCGCAGATTCTGTAGAGGCCTCTTTACCTTGGGCTATTGCGTTTGTTCGACCCCAGATCTCGAAGAAGCGGGTCGGAGCACTCCGAGAGGCAGCACCTACGCGTCTCCGCCGTTACACCCGCGAGCATCCCTGCCCACCCCTGCCGGGCTCGGCTCGCAGAGTGAGTGGGCATGAGTGCTGGGTGTCTGGGGATGGGACATGGGTGGTTGGGGCTGTGCAGTCCGGTGTTTACTGCTTTTCTTACAGCAAGCTTTCCTTTTCCGTGTGCCGCTCACGGAGCTGTCTAGGTTGGATGCTCTCTCTCACCCTGTGCATGCAAACCCAATAGTCTTGGCACTTCACTGAGTGTACCTGCTACTTCGGTTGGATCCCCAGACCCATGTACTGTGCCAGACACAAGGTGGCAGTTCAGTTAAGTAAGCGGAAAAGAATAAATGAGCATATGAATCTGAAATCATAACTCTGTGTTTACTGTGTTGAAAGATGAAGGCTCTTAAATGACTTCCTGGAATTTAAATGAGATCTTTAGTTACTGCAAACCCCAAAAGAGAAAAAGTTCGCTTAAAAAAAAAAAAAATTCTAGTCCTGAAGCATTTGGTGTGGTGCTGTGAATCAGCACTGGACTGTGAACCAAATGGTCGGCAGTTCAAACCTACCAGCCGCTTCTTGAAAACCCTATAAGGGATCGCTGTGAGCCAGAACCGACTCGTCGGTACGTAACAACAGCATATACATGTCTGGTTGGTTGTGCTTTACCGTTGTATGTAGAAGTTGTGGAATAATCTACTTTTTATGAGACAGAAAAACCTTAAGTGTCCAGCATAATGCGGTTTGCAACCATTATTTAATAAGGAACTTGTTGGGCCATAATATGATTTGTCTTTTATGCTTTTATTTACTGAGAATTAAAGTAAATGCATTCTATTTCAGGTTAGCCTACTATTATGCAATATATGGGGGCTTCAAAGAGGTCATGGGAACTCCATTATCTTTTTATTCTACTTTTCCACAAATTTTTGAAGCCCTCTGGCATTACGTGCACTGCTGGCCTAGGTTTAGGGGTTGTGAAGGAGAGTAGGGCCTGGCCCTTACAGTTTGGGAGCTTACATCACATAGGGGAGACATTGTAGAGTTTTAGTAGGACCTCTGGGACTGATACTCGAATAGAAGTTCAGATGCACTAAATGCACAAGGCAATGAAAGTGTAAGACAGAGGGGCCCTGGAAGCACAAGTGGTAAAGTGCTGCGCTGCTAACACTAATGTTGGTGGTAAAAAAAACCTGACCATTTGCTTCCATAAAGATTATAGCCTAGAAGACTATACGCGGCAGATATGCAGCTTACAGGGGGAATTATGAATCTGAATCAACTTGACGGCATCCAACTAAGTCTATGAGAATTTGAGGGAATAAGGGGCATTTGAACCCAGCCTTGATCCTGGTAGAAGTGTGTAGGGAGGCTGTTGTCAGGTGGAGCAAAGCAGAAAAGTTGAGCATTCAAAAACCAGAAGATAATGTGGTAACTCAGGCGAAGGTTTCTCTATAGATGTATGAAAATGAGCTGGGCTGGAAATCAGCCTGGGAATGTACAATATTGGAGTCATCACGGAATTTTGGGTTTGAACCCAAAATTGAGCAATTTGGAAAGGAACAGGTTTTGTGAGAAGATGAAGTAGAGGTTAGATTTGTTAACATGTATTTATTGTTCGTGGTTCTAACCTGCCAGTCACTCTGTGGAAGAAATATGAGGCTTTCTGCTCCGGCTAAGATGTAAAAAGACTCAGAAACCTTATACAGGGTTGTTGTGAATTGGAACTGACTTGACGACACTTACCAACATGTATTGACCTCCTGCTCTGGCAGGCTCTATGCGTGTACTAGCTCAGCCAGTCACTGCTGACAGAGTGAGTTGCAGCTCCTAGCCTCCGCTCACTGAAACGCAGGCCAGCGTGTTTCTTTAGGGTAAGAAAGAGAATGAGGTTCAGAGACTTCCAGTCGGGTAAAATAGATTTGAAGTGAGCCACTTCAGAGGTGGACTTGTGGCGCCGCAGGTTAACACACTGGACTGCAAGGTTGGTTTGAACTGCAAGGTCAGTGGTTCAAGCTCACCACCTGCTCCTCGGAAACCCTATACAGGGTCTCTGTGAATCAGAACCAACTCATTGGCACTTTGCAACAAGTACAACAGAGGTGAACTTGGATCTGTTTTTAGGAGCATTGGTGACAGCAACCAGGTTTGAAGTTCATCACCTTCCTTGAGTCTGCTGGATACACACACTGCCCTGTACCCTACTTGACGATCTAGACCCTTCCTTAGAGATCTGGTAGGATAAGAACGCCTTATGTCCATTCTGAGGCCTGTCAACTGTGGCCTGATATAAATTCTAAGTTACGTTATGGTAAAGGGAAAAAACCCAATCCAGATCCACTGCCGTCAAGTCGATTCTGACTAGTGGAGACGCTATAGGATGGAGTAGCACTGCCCCCTTAGGGTTTACAAAGCTGTATGTTTTATGGAAGCAGACTGTCACGTGTCTTCCAAGGAGAGGCTGGTGGGGTTGGATCTCTGACGTTTTGGTTAGCAAACAAGCTTTTTATCCACTGCCACCAGGGATCCTTATATAATGGAGGGATTTTAAGGAACCTTGTAGGATGAGTACTGGACTGCTAACCGTAAGATTAATCAGATTTATCTTTAGCCTTCAGAACAGCTATTCAAAAACTAACTTACACTTTGCCAAAGAGATCAATATTATTTTCTCCTTTTTCATTATTTTTAGTGTTGCTTTAATCTTTAAAAAATAATTTCTTAAGATTTAGGATTTTTTTTGTTCCAGATTTATTGTTTACAGTAGGCAAAGAATAAAAAAATGTATCTTTAAAAGTGAATATAAGCCTCTATTTTAAAAAAAGTATATTCAAAAGGACAAATACTATATGAGACCAGTGTTGTAAAAAAGTTAGGAAAAGGTTTTCTGGATAAAAGAAAAAGAGAGTGAGAGAGAGTAGTAGACTGGATAAGAAACAGGATCCTTCAACAGGATATCTAAAAGAGATATTTCAAAAAGATGGAGACCGCCTGAATGCCCATCAACAGAAGAATGGTTAAACAAAGTTTGGTAGATACACATAGTGGAATACTATGCAATAGTGAGGAACATTGATGAATCTGCAGAACACCTCACAACATGGATGACCCTGGGGGACATTATGCTAACTGAAATTAGTCAATCAGAAAAGAACAGTATTATATGAGACCACTTTTGTAAACAGTTAAGAAAAGGTTTTCTTGATGAGAAATTCTATGATGGTTACGGAGGGGGAATTTTCACTAGAGGGAAGACACGTTGACATGGGTGATGGGGTGGGCAATATACAAGTGGGAGGTCCACAGAGGAAAGATGAAGGTAGCAGGAGACATGAAGGAATGCCAGAGTTGTTGAATGTAAAACTGATGATCTGTTCTGTAAACCTTCACTCAATAAAAAGTTTTTTTAAAGTATATAATTTAAAATGATTAATATCACTCTTGTTGTTAACTACTGTTGAGTCGTTTCTGACTCATAGCAACCCTGTATAGGGTTTCCAAGGAGCAGCTGGTGGGTTTGAACCTTCAACTTTGCAGTTTAAACAAGTCTTGTGATTGTGTGCTTTAGCCTGTGGCACCATACCAGGACTCCAGTTTTACTGTATGAATCATAAAATGTAATATATTAGTTTAAAATCATTTGAATAAACAAATGAACTTTATTGTTGTTAGCTATTGGTGAGTTGTCTTCAACTGATGTCGGCGTAATGTACAAACTTGAAGAAAACATTACCAAGCCCTGTGCTGTCCCTCTGTTCTTTGATATGTTTGAGCCCATTATTGAAGTATCCTGTGATTCTATATCACTGAGGGTTTTCCTAGTTTTCACTGGCCCTCTGCTTTTTCCTGCACGATGTTCCTCTGTAGCAATTAATCTTTCCTGATGATTGGTCCAAAATAAGCAAGGTGAAGCCTTACTAACTTTTCTTCTAAGGAATGTCTTAGTTGTATTTCTTCTAAGACTGATTATAGTTTCTTCTTCTGGCAGTCCAGGGTATAGTCAACATTCGTCACCAATGCTGTAATTCAAAAGCACCTATTCTTTCTTTCCTTTTTATTTTTCATTGACAAGCTTTTGAATGCTTATGAGGCAATTGAAAAGAACATAGCTTTGGGCCCACATAACTTAGTCATCAAAGTGACATCTTTACTTTTCAAAAATTTTAAAAAGTCTTCTGTAACAGAATTACCCATTGCAATACATTGTTTGATTTTTTACTGCTGCTTTCATAGGTGTTGATTTTTTATCTAAGTAGAATGAAATTCTTGACAACTTCAATTTTCTCTTCATTTATTAGGATTTTTTTTCATTGGTCCAGTTGTGAAGTAACTTGTGAAGAGCAGTTTTTGGAGAGATCTTGTCCTGAAGCAGAGCTACTGATTTGCCAATATTTTCCATTAATTTTCCTGATAAAAAAGCAGATTAATTTTTAAAGGTCTGTTTATTGAGAGCCTACTAGGAACCAAACACAATTCTGGGGATAGATCAGTGAATAAAGCCCCATAACATCCTTCCCATCTTGTAGTGAAATGGACAGTAAGCAAAATGAAAAGGAAAATATGTGCTATGTCTAATGGTTATCACTGCTGTGGAGAAAAATAAATCAAGGCAGCAGGGTGGTGGTATCGGGGTTGCAGTGGAAATAAAGTGGCCCGAGAAAGCTTCCATGATAGGTTTCCTGGAGAAGAAATAAGAACATTGATCTCCGAACTCAAGAGTTAAATAATGTATCTCAAAAATAAATATGTTTTGTATTAAATGACTATGTAGTAGTATACACTGTCTTTGGAACTTTGGTCTTTCCACTCACGATGCATTTTCTCTTGTCTATAGGATGTCTCAGTGGTATGAGCTTCAGCAGCTTGACTCCAAATTCCTGGAGCAGGTTCACCAGCTTTATGATGACAGTTTCCCCATGGAAATCCGACAGTACCTGGCCCAGTGGCTAGAAAAGCAAGACTGGTAAGGGGCATGCACTTGACAGTTAACTCTACTTTTTAATGCTTGTTGATGAAGTCACTTGGAGCTGTGTTGACTGGAAGGTGAATCTTATCAATGACCATAGAGTTATCTCTTCAGAAAATGGCTTTGATTTTAAAAAATGGCATGTATCTCTAAAAGCTTAATGCACTAATCATTCTGTAGTTTTGGCAAATTTGATTATGACAACCAAACTGCTTTGGATAAATTCAGACACCATTTATTTTCTAAGTCAGGGTCCATGCTATAGAAAGAAATAAGTTAAATTTGAAAAAAAGAAGAAGCCAAATTTTGATAGAACATTGATTAGGGATATGAAGAAATCAATTAAGTGGTATCTCTTTAAACTGATAGACGTCCTATTTTGCTGATTGCAGAAGTTTAAAATCTTCTGAAAATATTTGACGTAGAAAGTGAAGCCACCTCTTAACTTCTTGTCTTTAGAGATAATTACCACGAACCATTTTGTGCAAATCTCTTAGAATTCCAGAATTTCTCATGCTAGTTGTATATTTCTAATTATTGTTACTAATAGAAATACTGTTGACTTTTACTAATGGAAATGCTGCTGCTGAAAGCAATGAGATCAAAAAGAATAAAATAAATCCTAAGAAAATATTTTAAATTATTTCTAAAAAGTCCTAAAAAAGCAATTTTTGTTTTGCCTATCTTAGTATTATCTAGAATAAAATGTGTACATTTTAAATCTCTCAGGGACCATGCTGCCAATGATGTTTCATTTGCTACTATTCGTTTTCATGACCTCTTGTCACAACTGGATGATCAGTACAGCCGCTTTTCTTTGGAGAACAATTTTTTGTTGCAGCACAACATAAGGAAAAGCAAGCGTAATCTTCAGGTATGGCCTGGGGCTTGTGTTGTCTTCCAAGTATTCCCATGTTCACATGGGAGAGATTTTTCATTCAAATACTATTTTGCACAAAGTCATCAGTGGAAGAGAACTTAAAATGTAAATAAACTTATTTTATGTGGCCAATATACGAATCCTGGTGTGACACTGTATGATAAGCACTGGACTACTAACTGCAAGATTGGTGGTTCTAACCACCAACAACTCCTTGGAAACGCTATACAGGGCCTCTTTGAGTCGGAACCCACTCAACGATGCTTAACAATTGTAACAATATATTATAACATAAAATAGCAATTCCTTTTGTAAATTCCTAAGAATTGTTTAGGCTTCAGTACCATTATCTGTTAGATGCTAGAAATTCTGGGAGAAATGTGATGTCCTGTATTTTTTTTAAAAAGATCGTCAAAATTTAAATCAAAGAAAAAGGGGACATTTTCAAAGCAGTCAGCGGTGGCATCACAAAATTCCGAGGAATTTGAGTGTCAGCTAGGTCTAACAGTGAGTTGGGGACTTAGAGCTGGACTCCATTACTGGAGTTACCCTCTCCTAGAAGAGATGGTCGAAGAAAGATTAGTTGTATGAGAAAGTGCTTCAAAGTGTTTGGGTTCATCACAAGTCTTCCCAGCATGCCCTAAGGCTTAACTATCATATTTATTTCCGTATGAATGAACTTTTCTGTTTTAATGGAGGTGAGAGCTTGCTTCCTTGTTTCATATTACACATACAAACTTCTCTATGTAGATAATAGGAAGCTTTTTTTTTTTTTTTAATGATATGTCTATGATTTTATATTCCCAGTGAACAGGAGCCCTGATGGCACAGTGGATTAAACATGGGACTGCTAACTGAAAGGCTAGCATTTTCAATCCACTAGTTGCTCCGTGGAAGAAAGATGAGGCAGTCTACTTCTATAAAGATTTACAGCCTCAGACACACTATATAGCAATTCTAGCCTTATGTGTTGTTGTTGTTAAGTGCCTTTGAGTTGATTCCCACTCATAACGACTCTGTATAGGATTTCTGAGGAATGGCTGGTGAATTTCCAACCTTGCAGTTCAAAGCGACCTTGTCGAGTGCTTATTCTGTGGTGCCACACCAGGACTCCGCTCTGTCCTATAAGGGCACTGTAAGTCAGAATCCATTCAACAGCAGGGGTTCTGTATTCCCAGTGAGTGGGGAAATTAACTTTACAGAAATGTACTCCATTATGGCTTTTACTTGAATGTAAGAAAGAGCTCTGGTAGCGTAATGGTTACGAATCGGGCTGCAAATCACAAGGTCAGCAGTTCTGAACTACCAGCTGCTCCACAGGAGAAGGATGAGGCTTTCTGCTCCTGTAAAGATTTACAGCCTCGGAAACCCTGTTCAGGGTTGCTACGGGTCCGAACCGACTCGACGGCACTTAACAACAACAACAACCTGCTATGAAGAGCCAAGATTGCCAGTATTTTGCAAACTTGCCTTGACAATGGAAATAGAAAAACTGAGACAAATACCTTTGGTCTAATGTAGAGCAGAGACCAACAAATAATTGAAAAATACCATGTGTAGTTTTTTGGTTTTTTTTAAAATCATTTGTGTTTTTTAGGACGGTGACAGAAAATATATGGCCTCAAGAAATAGAGAACATAATAATGTAAAATATTAATAATCGGTATACTTACATTATTAATCAAATGGATGCTTATAAATTATATAAACATTATTAGAATATAAATACTACAAAATATATAAAAATATATGAAGCATAGAAATACCGTAAGTGTCTGCACTTAATTGGAAAGTTAAGTTTTTCATAATTTATAAAAAGAATATTTTGATTTTAACAAAAAAATGTAGAATCTAATAAATGTGAGATGAACTATTTCAGTGGATCTGAAAAAATTCATATCAATTATAATATACAGTGGTTTAAACATTTTGAATTTTCACTAATTTTTGTTTTAACCCATACCTAGGATAATTTTCAGGAAGACCCAATACTGATGTCTATGATCATCTTTAACTGTTTGAAGGAGGAAAGGAAAATCCTGGAAAATGCCCAAAGATTTAATCAGGTACTTTTTATTTTAAACTTTAAGAATTACAGTAAAATTAAATTAATTCAACAAATATTATCAAAACCCTCTTCAAGGCAGTGGTGAATGCCCCTTTGAATTCATAGCCCCAGTGAGTGGGTAAAAGTCAGCTTTAGAGATGATCGGAACCAGGCTTTAACAAAAGGACCCTGATCTCATGGAATTATATTATAGTGATGGTGAGATACAATGAATAAACACAGTATTTCAATGAATAAACACAGTATTGATAAATAATGCTAAAATAATGCAGGGTACCAAGCAAAAGGTTTTTAAGAAGACAAACAAGAAGGAGAAGACCAACATGGATGTCAGAAGAGACTCTGAGACTTGCTCTCCAGCATAGAGATGCTAAAGCAAATGGAAAAATTGAAGATGTAAAACAGCTGAACAGAAAGTTTCAAAGGGCAGCTCTAGAAGACAGAGTCAAATATTGTAATGAAATGTGCAAAGGCCTGGAGTTAGAAAACCAAATGAGAAGAACACGCTCAGTATTTCTCAAGCTGCGCAAACTGAAGAAAAAATGTAAGCCTTCACTTGCAGTATTGAAGGATTCTATGGGTAAAATATTGAATGATGAAGAAATCATCATAAGAAGACGGGAGTAATACACAGTCACTGTACCAAAGAAAAAAAATAAAAGGTTAATGTTTAACCATCTCAAGAGGTAGCATATGATCAAGAGCCAACGGTACTGAAGGAAGAAGTCCAAAGTGCATTGAAGGCATTGGCAAAAAACAAGCCCCTGGGAATTGATGGAATACAAATTGAAATATTTCTACAAACTGATGGGGCACTAAGGCACTTACTCATCTATGCCAAGAGATGCGGAAGACAACTACCTGGCCAACTGACTGCAGAAGATCCACATTTGTGCCCATTCCAAAGAAAGGTGACCCAGTGGAATGCAGAGATCATTGGACAATATCATTAATACCGCATGCAAGTAAAATCTTGCTAAAGATAATATAAAAACAGCTGCAACCATACATTGACAGAGAACTTCCAGAGTTTCAAGCTGGATTCAGAAGAGGATATTGAACAAGGGATGTCATTACGGATCTTGGCTGAAAGTAGAGAATACCAGAAAGATGTTTACCTGTGCTTTATTGATTAGGCAAAGACTTTCGATTGTGTGGATCATGACAAGCTATGGACAACATTGTGGAGAATTGAGTATTCCGGAACACTTAATTGTGCTTATGAGGAACCTTTACATAGATCAAGAGGCAGTTGTTCGAACAGAACAAGGGAATGTGGAATGGTTTAAAATTAAGAAAGGTGTGCACCAGGATTGTATTCTTTCAACACACTTATTCAATCTGTATGCTGAGCAAATAATCTGAGAAGCTAGGTTATATGAAGAAAAATGTGGCATCAGGATTGGAGGAAAATTCATTAATAACCTGCATTGTGCGGATGATATAACCTTGCTTGCTGAAAGTGAAGAGGACTTAAAATACTTACTGATGAAGATCAAAGACCATGGTATGGATTGCATCACCATGTAAAGCAAACAAAAATCTTCACCACTGGACCAGTAAGTTTGAAGTTGTCGAAGACTTCATTTTGAGCAAATCTGCTGCACAAGACTTCTTTAAAGTGTTGAAGAGTGCAGCTGTCAGTTTGAGGACTAAGGTGCGCCTGATCTAAACCATGGTATTTTCAATAATCTCATATGCATGCAAAAGTTGGACAGTGAATAAGGAAGACTGTACAAGAATTGATGCATTTGAGTTATGGTATTGGAGGAGAATATTAAAAGTACCATAGACTGCTGAAAGAACAAACCAATCTGTGTTGAAAGAAGTACAGCCAGAATGCTCTCTGGACGCCAGACCAGAGTTCATCTCTCATACTTCGGACATATTATCAGGAGGGAGCAATCCCTGGAGAAGGATATCATGTTTGGTAAAGTGGAGAATTGGAGAAGGAAAGGAAAATCCTCAACAAGATGGATAGGCCCAGTGACAACAGCAGTAGCCTCAGGCTTATCGATTGTGAGGTTGGCGCGAGACGGGCAGTGTTGCATTCTGTTGTGCATAGGATTACTATGAGTCAGTGTTGACTCAATGGCACCTGATGACAACCAAGTACAGGGTAGTTCTAAGATAGATAAAGCTCCTGGGTAGCACAGATAGTTTGTTCTTATCTACTAATCTATAGGTTGGTAGTTTGGACCAACTCGGCGGCATTACAGTTTGAAAGACAGGTGATCGGCTTCTGTAATTATAAGTAACCATGAAAACTCTGTGAAGCTGTTCTCTGTAACATGAAATTGCAATGACTTGAAATCAACTTGACATAGTGAATGGTTTGGTTTAGGTTTATTGTAATAGGCATAAGGGTGTGTCTGCTGTGGATGAATTATTTCTTGAGATTAAGAAAGGCTCTCTTAAATGTAAGCAAGAAGAGGTGGATCAGAATCAGCGGAGAGGGGAAGAAATGGTCAGATTCAAGTTGTATGTTGGACATGGTGCAATAGAGCTTATATCAGAGGTGAGAGTGAGGAACTGAGAATGGCTATGGTTTGTCACTTGAGTTGAGGGAGATGGGAAGAGATAGATGGAATTTTGCAGGGCCAGATAGCTGTTGGAGGAGAAGAATAGGTTGATGGGCTTTGTTTCAGACACAAATGATCAAGAGCAAAGATGTCGGTTTAAAGACTAAGGTGTGCCTGAACCAAGCCAGGGTATTTCCAATAGCCACATATCCATGTGCACATTGGACGATGAATAAGGAAGGTCATAGAAGAATTGATGCATATGAGTTATGGTATTGGAGATGAATATTGAAAGCACCATGGACTACCAGAAGAACAAACAAATATGTGTTGGAAGAAGTACAGTTAGAATGCTCCTGATTTGTTGTTGCTGTTGTTACTAATTGCTGTCGAATCAGTTCCAACTCACATGATCATGTATAGCGTTTCCGAGGAGTGACTGATGTGTTTGAACCTTTACCTTGAGGTCTAAATGGACCTTGTGATTCAGTGGATATCTTTTAGTGTGATACTAGGACTCCAGAATGCTCCTTAGAAATCAGGTTCATGAGAATTTGTCGCTCATACTTTGGACATGTTACCAAGATAGACCATTCCTTGGAGGACATCATTCTTGGTAAAGTGAAGGATCAGCAAAAAAGAGGAAGACCCTAATAAGATGGATTGGCACAGTTCATCAGCAATGGGATCAAGTGCAAAAACAACTGTGAGAATGGCACAGGAATGGACAGTTTTGTTTTGTTGCGTGTGGTTGGTGGTTGTGTGCCATGGAGTTGGTTCCAACTCATAGTGACCCTATATAAGATTTTTGAGGCTGTAAATCTCCATGGGAGCAGAAAGCCCTGTCTTTCTCCTCCAGAACTGCTGGTAGTTTTGAACTATTGACCATGAGGGTAGCAGCCAGACTCCTCACCACTATGCTACTAGAGTTTGTGTAGAAGCACTAATCGTCAGATCCGACTCAGTGACATCAAACAACCGTAACAGTAACAATAATGTGTAGAAGAAAGAAGAGTAATGAAAACTGAAGATGCTTGGAATCAACTAGTCTAGTGAACTAATGGAACATGTGAACATCAACCACCATGACTCTGAGATCAGAAGAATTAGATAGTGCCTGGCTGCTACTACCAACTGCTTTGAAAGGGATCACATTAGAAGATCCCAGATAGAGTGGCAGAAAATGTGGAACAAAATTCAAAATTATAAAACATTTAATAAATAAAAGATCAGACTTACTATTCAGAAAAAGACTTGAGAACCTAAGACTATCACCCCCAGATACCTTTCAGATCAGGAATGGAACTCACCTTCATGACCCAATTTTCAGCTAAGCAGTGGCTAGGAATATAGGGAAGACAACACTAGTAAGGTATGTCATCCATTAAAGGTCAAAAGGACAGCATTTCCCTGAGGACAAAGTTGAGAAGGGACAGGAAGGAGGGTCGAATGGAAATGAGAACCATAGGGTGAAAGTGGAATGACAATTGTTACATGAAGGAGATTACAATCGTTCATATTAAACATATGGTGTATTTTTTTTTTTTTAATGTAAAGCATGGTCTTCACTGAGAAATTCCATTAAATTAATAATAAAATGTTTCAAGTAAAAACAAAAAAAAAACCCACCTCACACAATCGAGATCCCTATTGAATAGCCAAGACAGAAGGAGTTAAACTAGTACCAGTACAAGTATTTTTTATCATGTTATACTGATCTCAGTACAAACCTTCCTGGAGATCAGGGTTCAGCCATCTTTGGAAGGAGCCAGGGTATTTATTCCTGTCTTCTCTGGAGTCGCCTAGTGGTGAGACGCCTACCAACAGACCAATGTGAAATCGTGTTTAGGATGTGTCCTTCCAATAAGTGGGAAGAATGCCAGAATACACAGTGGAATGTGTTCCGAGGGCATTTCTCTACCAGGAACTAGCAAAGTGAAGTGTGTGAGAGTCAAAAAAAGTTGAATAGCTGAGAGTAAGAACAGCAAGGCCTTTTGGGGGGAGGAGGGCAGCTGCTAGTGTCAGGGAAAAGGCAACAACAAAATGCCTCCTTTCTGAAATTACATAGCCTGCTACTATGTAGCACTGTGGGATAATGCACTGGACTGAAAATCAGTTTGAACTGCAAGGTCAGTGGTTCAAGCTCAACAGCTGCTCCCTGGAAATGCTATACAGGGTCGCTATGGGTCAGAACCAACTCGACGGCATTTAGCAATAACAGCAACATCTACCTGGGAAGTTCACAAACATTTATTTGACTTTTTTTTTTCATTGTTGATATATATTATATTATAATACATCTTCTGATGCCAGATCTGGTATTTGCATCAAAACAATCCAGTTTAGGGGACAGGGAACAGTTGTTAAGTGCCATCAGGTTAGTTCTGACTCGTATCATCCCTGTGTAAAAGGGGTTGTTAAGTGCCGTCAAGTTGGTTCAGACTCAGTGACCTGTGTAAGGTTTCCGAGGGGCAGCTGGTAGGTTTGAACTGAAGACCTTGTGATTTGTAGGCCAGTGCTGATCCTAAAGCGCCACAGCAGGAGACCAGTTAGACTGTTATATTTGGTCAGGCATTTAATTAACTCACTCTCTGGTAGCATAGTGGTTACGAATCGGGCTGCGAACCACAGGGTCAGCAGTTCGAAACTACCAGCTGCTCCGCGGGAGAAAGATGGGGCTTTCTGCTCCCGTAAAGATTTACAGCCTCGGAAATCCTGTTCAGGGTCGCTATGGGTTGGAACCGACTCGATGGCACTTAACAACAACAATGTATGGCAATGCACTGTACCATAAGGCTGGTTTGAACCACATGGTTGGCAGTTCAAACCCACTAGCCACTTTTCAGAAACCTTACATAAGGTCTGTGTGAGTCAGAACTGACTCAACAGCACTTAACAACAATACAGTGTGATCTGGAGCTGTGATTGCATTGACAGGGCCAGACCAAATGATTTCATGGGCCTTTATATGGCCTGCAGGCCAGACATTCCCCACGGCTGCTGTATAGGGCTGCTGAGGCTTTTAAAATCTTTGTGGGAGCAGAAAGCCTCATCTTTTTCCCAAGGAGCAGCTTGTGGGCTTAAGCTGCCTACCTTGTGGTTCGCAGTCCAGTACTTATCCTGTGGAGCCACCGCTATCCTGAGGGAGAATATAGCTAGAATTACCCCTTCTTAGGCCTAAAAATTGCCTGATGTTTACTTAGTACTTAATGTATCTAAGGAACCCTGGTAGGGTGTAGACTGTGAGCTGGGCTGCTAGCCAAAAGGTCAGTAGTTTGAATCTATCAGCTGCTCCTTGGGAAGAAGATGAGGCTTGCTGCTCTCATAAAGATTTATAGCTTCTGAAACTCTGTGTATAGGGCTGCTATAAGGCGGAACCAACTCCACAGCACACAAGTACCACCACCACCATTTACTTCCAAAAATTAGCCAGTCAAAAATCATTTGGATAATATCAATCTGATCCTGTTGTGCTTGGGACCACCATATGCTGAAGGCTGACTGGACAGTAGCTATCAACAACAGCATAGTAAGAGTATGTCGGTTGACTAAACCAGGGCATAGCTATGTAATAAACAGATAAGCACAGTCACGTCCGAATCTTCTGATTATCAGGCAAGTCTGGGCTTGTATTCACTGTTGACTTCATAGCAGTAGTCATTAAAGTTATCTATGGTGGTGATTTCAATTCTGATAGGATTCTTGTTAAATGGGAATTTCAATCAGTGGTCAGGTCCTGAGAGTCTACATTTCTAGTAAGTTCACAGGTAGTAAGATGTTTCTGGTCTGGGATCACACTTTAAATGGCAAGGCCTTAGACAAATAGGTACAGTGTTACTAAATGAAGAATGATCTTCTGTATACAATTTGAGAAACCCTCAAAGAAATTCTTGTGTGGTAGCATGCCACTATATGAATGAATGGAAACTTCTAGAAATATTTATTTTAGGCATGAACTGAGCCTAGTCTTTCTTTTAGCCTGTTAACCATTGGCCAGTCTTTTCCATGGCCTCAGGAACTGAGCTGTCTCCTGTTGACACACATGTCAACAAGTCTGTAGGAGGTTTTAGAAGATCTGGAAGGTAGGCGGGGCACTGGGTATAGACTTGACTTTGGAGTGTAACCAGTGAATAAACACACCAGAGAAGATGATGAATGTTAACCATGTCCTTCCCATTGCAGTCTCAGTCGGGGAATATTCAGAGCACCGTGATGTTAGACAAACAGAAGGAGCTTGACAGCAAAGTCAGAAATGTGAAGGACAAAGTCATGGTGAGTAGTGAGTAAATACACACATTTATGCTGTAACTCTTCATAGGGAAGAAAGAAATATCAGTTGTTCTATTTGGAAACCTTGTAACTGGTTTTAGTCTTTTAGTTAATTGAGAAAAGTTTTGCTGAAGATTCAATCCGTCAATAAACAAATTGATAAAACCAATAACAAGGCAGATATTTTTATGGCCCGGTTATAACTTCCAAACTTGACCTTACCTTTTTCTGCCTTGTAAGATCATACAGTGTTGACTTTGCTCCATGACTCAATGTAGTACGTGTTTCTGCATTGAATAACCCTTTCATGCTCGTGTCTCTCAAGTCAGGGTGTTCTTGTGGTTACACAGAACCCCAGGAAAAGCAAGACCCGTCTTCCTCAAGCATTTGTTTTACTTTTAAACTTGGAAGGGAAGCAAGCATTTCATTAAAATATACTATGATTTGCTGTAAAGAATCCAGAGTTTCAAAACAGGCTTCTGGAGTACAAAACCAAAGCTATGTGGGTGAGACCCAGAGACCCAACAGGACCATACTCCACTGCGGAGAAGGCCTCTCCCATGGACACAGGCATGCCCATCTAATGGAAATCTTAGAGCAAATCTATACTGCAGTCACCTGGGAAGGGTGTGATTAAAGTACAAACCAAGTGGGTCCTCCCCAGGAATAACTGTGGAAACAGAGAAGAATATGTAGAAATGTGAGCCAATCCCAAGAGAATGAGGTTTATTTGTAGAGGGAGAGATGCTTGAGCAACTAAGGCATTGTTAATAAGGGGAGAAAGATGAGGCTTTCTGCTCATATGAAGTTCTTGGAAAAATGGAATTGAAAGACCATGGAATTTTTCCATGAACTTTTTGCAGCCCCTTCATATACCTATTATGAGCTAGAAATTATTCCATGCTTATTCTTATATTTTGCAAATCTTTAAGGGAGCTGTAATTGTTTCCATGATTTTATGGGTCCTGTATAAGCAACAGGGAGCTCAGCGACACAGCGGTTAAGTGCTCGACTGCTAACTGATAATTAATTGAGAAAAGTGAAGATTCAGACCATAAATAAACAAATTGATAAAACCAATAACAACAGGAGAAAGATGTGCTTCCTTAAAGATCACATACTTGGCGATGCTACGGGGCAGTTCTACTCTGTTCTATAGGGTCGCTGTGAGTTGAGATCAACAAGTTTATTTTTGATATAAAAACGATAATCTGTTTTCCAGAGTCTTTGGAAACCGATCAGTGGCAAATACATTTTTGTTCTTATTTGTAGTGTATAGAGCATGAAATCAAGAACCTGGAAGATTTACAAGATGAATACGACTTTAAATGCAAAACCTTGCAGAACAGAGGTAAGAGTTACAAGTGAAGCAGTGTTCATTGGCTGTATTTCTATATACAGCAGACGACAAGGGCGGTCTGTGTGCCAAGTATTTGTGACTGTACTGTTAGTCTTGGCCTCTGACGACCCAGACCAGTGTTTCTCACCCTTAGCACTGTTGACCTACTGGGCCAAGAAATTCTTTATTGTGGGTGGTGACACTGTGCATTGTAAGCCACTTAGCAGCATCCTTGGCCTCTAGCCAGATTCCAGTAGTGCCCCACATCTTCGCATGTGGCAGTCTGTTGTTGTGGTTGTTACGCGCCTTTAAGTCGTTTCTGACTCACTGCAACCTAGTATATGGTGTCCAAGGAGCTGCTGGTGGGTTTGAACCACTGACCTTGTGGTCTGCAATCTCGTACTTATCCTACTGTGCCACACTAGGAGTCTTTAGAGATGTGGAGACCTGCTAGTTAAGTGTTTAGCTGCTTTATGCAGTGTGCCTACCTCACTGAAAGATGTTTGAGTTCCCTCACCCTTGTTCCTACAAACAATCCGTCTCTGTGTGCATTCTCTACAGAGAAGGTCAGCACTTTTTCTCATGTTTTAAACTGTTTCACTTTCTTTGGTTGTTGCTTATTTTTAAGGGCGGAGTCCTGGTATTGTGCTGTAGGATAAGCACCAGACTACTAACTGAAAGGTTGGGATTTCAGACCCACTAGCCACTCCTTGGCGATCATATACAGGGTTGCTGTGAGTTGGAACTGACTCAAGGCATTTAACAACAATAACAACAGCATTTTTAATGACAGCAGCAACTGACAGTCGCTGAGAAGTGTGGATTGTGTAGAACATGTAGGTACTGTTGTAACTCTGAAATTATTTAGAGGATACCATAGTTAATAAGGAGCTCTGGTAGCGTAGTGGTTATGAATCGGGCTGCGAACCGTAAGGTCAGCGGTTCGAAACTACCAGCCACTCCGCAGGAGAAAGATGAGGCTTTCTACTCCCGTAAAGATTTACACCCTCGGAAACCCTGTACAGGGTCGCTATGGGTCGGAACCGACTCGATGGCACTTAACAACAACAACATAGTTAATATGAAGAGAGTGTCAGTATGATTTTGGGTAAAAAGCAAGGAAAAAGGGACCCCAAACTACTACTTCCTAATTACCTACTTCTTTTTCAGTGCAAAAGCTATGCTTAAGGAGCCCTGAGAGTGTAGTAGTTTATGAACTGGTCTGCTAATCGCAAGTTCAGCAGTTCAAATCTACCAGTCACTCCACAGAAGACAGATGAGGCTTTCTGCTCCTGTAAAGGTTTACAGCCTTGGAAACCTTACACAGGGCTGCTATGAGTCGGAACCGACTCAATGACACACAACCACCACATAGCTATGCTTTGTGTACATTTTCTATTTGTAGTTTAGAATCTTGTTACTTAGATTCATCTAGGAATATTCTGATAGTAACTTAATTACCAGATAAAATGCTGTTTCCAATTTACCTGGGCCATTGAAAACTAGTACTTATTTCAGTGTATCCATTTTTTATACTTGGGCACTTTTTTCTTGCTCTGTTCAATAAATATTGAAGATTAAACTTTGGCCTATTGCCAGAGAGTATTCCAACTCTTTGTATCACAGTTCCCCTAAACTTATGTCAGTCTTGGTTTTGTCATCTTTTACATTTATATTTATCTGCTGTTTCTATCTCTCAATCAGAGCATGAAGCCAACAATGTGGCAAGCAATGAACAGAAACAAGAACAGATGTTACTTCAGAAGATGTATTTAATGCTTGACAGTAAGAGAAAGGTAGCTATTCACTTTTTGGGATAACATGTTACTTTTTTCCCATAATTATAAATAATAGACTTAAATTTTAGAATAGAGAAAAAATGAACTTTTATAACCACTTGACTTAGCACACTAATGAATGGAAAGTTATTTGTTTTGTTTTAAAACATTCTTTTAAAATTTAGTGATTAAAAAATAATTACTTATATGTTGGTTTTTTTCCCTCTTATCTTTTAGGAAGTAGTTCATAAAATAATAGAATTGTTGAATGTCACTGAACTCACCCAGAATGCCTTGATTAATGATGAGCTTGTCGAGTGGAAGCGGAGACAACAGAGTGCTTGTATTGGGGGGCCACCCAACGCTTGCCTTGATCAGCTGCAGAACTGGTAAGATTCTCCAGAGCAGAAAATCGGCAACTGATGAGCAATCACAGGCACTTGTAAAGTGCACGTTTGTGCTGTGGTGACCCTGGAATGAACCCTGTTAAAACTGTGGTTTCACTAAAAACGTAGTCCATCTTGTTCTTATCCTGGAAATCCTCGCTTGGAACCAAGACCAAACCAAATCCACTGCTATGGAGTTGCTTCCTGTAGGACAGACTACAGCTGCTCCTTAGGGTTTCTGAAACTGAAATTAAAAAAAAATTTTTTATTGTGAACTGAGTGATAGTTTACATGGGAAAACATTGGTTTTACATCCTTGTCTCATTGCAATGATTGCTGTCTCCTCCGTGCATCATCATTCAACAGTATTTGCTTCCATTCCCTCTTATTTTTTGGGGGTGGGGTGGGGTGCGGGGTGCGATGAACACAAAAACACTAAGGAATACATAATAATTTAAATAACCAAAGGGCACATTTTGTAAGACTGCTTCCTGGTCATCAGCACCTCCCTTTCCATGAATCTAGAGTCCTCAGCTGTTCCCTCTCTCCATGCTCTCATCTCTGCCTCTATCTCTGGTGTCACTGCTTCTCTGGTTAGGGTCCCACATTCTCTTGTGTTCGTCTCCCCTGAAGCTCCCAGGGTCCTCTATTTCTGGACTGTAAGGTTAACTACTCCCCCGTTTTGGTTACAAAATTTCTACTTTTACAGTTGTGGCAGTCACAATTAGTCATCATAACAGTTACTCACTATTGAATCATAAGAGTCTTCTCCCCATCTCTTTTCACCAGACCCGTCTAGACAAGATGAAACCATTCAGTGACTCTGCCTTCCCCCACACACTCTTAAACTAAACTCCCTCTTGAAAACCAGTCACTTCGTGCCTTTATTGCCCCCTTGTTTTAGGTAGCCAATGTCTTACTTTGCCCATCCTTATCTACCCTGTGTTCAGAGTGGATAGCATTGATACTTGATGTGAAGACTCCTTCCCTCTCAGTTGATATTTTGAGCTACTGCATCCATGAATATAGGTCAAGTTCATCAAATTGTAGCAATTTACACTCGTTTCTTTTATCAAATATTGTTTTTGTATCTTCCTGTAGTCGAGTCCTGGTGTGGCGCTGTGGGCTGATGCATTAGACTGCAAAGTCATTTGAACTGCAAGGTCAGCAGTTCAAGCTCACCAGGTGCTCCTTGGAAACCTGATACAGGGTCACTATGGGTTGGAATCGACTCCATGACACTTAACAACAACAGTTGAGTTATGATTATCAAACCATAGAGGCTAGGTCAAATGGGTGCTATCTGCAAGTTTGGGTGTTCTTGTGCATCTCCCCTCTCACTTCATATCAGCTGGATGCTTCCCTCTCAGCATTAGCCCTCTATGGCTATGACCTTATCCAATGGCTCAGGTGCCCCCAGGTTTCACCACACTTTGGACTAATCAGCCCCTTTCTCTTCTCTTTCTTATCTTCAGGTCAATGGGAGTGTATGGTTGAACTCAGCCCACTTCTTCATTGCTACCTTTCCCTCTCTTCCACTCACCAATAGACCAGTGTGGTTGCCAGCAAACTTACATGCTTGCTCATGTGTTCCCTTTGAGTTTCAGTCTTGGAGGGGGGATTGTCCTGAAGGGACTTGATTGCTTGCCTTAATGGCTCCCCTGCAAACAATTTGCTTGATCTTGTAGTAACCAGTCATACTGCCATTTTAATTTTGGGTTTTTCCTGCTGATCTCTCTTTTGAAGATGTATCTTCTATTGCTCTAGCTGTTCCAGACTGGTCTGCTTGCCCTTTCTGATGGGAATTTCCCACCTCAGAAAGTTTTGTATGGGGTTTAGGATTCCACCTAAGGTCCTACACTGGAAAGACTCTGCAAGATGCCTATTTCACTGGGCAAGTTGCAGAACCCCTTTTAGGTATTCTAATCAGTTATAGGCTGAAGACAGGCTTACAAGCTTTCTGTTATCATGTTTCCAGACATTCCTTTCTATCCCACTCAAGTGTCTATTTTACAACAGTAGGCAAGGGAAACAAATATTCATAAGACAGTCAAGCATCTTAACATTATTTCCCCTCTTCAGACTATGCCTCGATTCCTGTATCACAGAGCCCTGTTGTTTCAAGATTGAGCAAACATCCCTATTTATCTCTGTTCCATTTAGCCCATGCAAACCTGCCTCAGAGTTCCCCTATCTTCTTTGTTCTTCCATCCCCTCCCCCTTGTGTATTGCCTTCCCCAACACCCGAACTGTGATGTGTCTACCCCTTACCCTGTGCTCTATTATCCCCTCCACACCCCCAATCCCCAGGCCCCTGGTAACCAACATAGAATATTTTCCGCCCCTTTTAGTATGGGTATCTTAAGTTTATTTTTTACAATAATGGCCTTATGCAATATTTCTCCTTTTGTGCCGACTAATTTCACTCAGCATAATGTCCTCAAGGTTCATCCATGTTACACAGTGGCTTGCAGCTTCCTTGCTATTTTTCAAGGTAGCATAATATTCCATTGTGTGTATGTACCAAAGTTTATCTATTCTTCCATTGATGGGCACTTAGGCTGTCTCCATCTTTTTGCTATTGTGAATAGTGCTGCTGTGAACATTTGTGTGCATGTATTTACTCGTGTTATGGCTATATTTCTTGTGGATATATACCAAGTAGAAGAATTGCTGGATCTTAAGGTATTTATATTTACAACTTCCTGAGGAAGTGCCATACTGTTTTTCAGAGTGCTTGGACCATTTTGCATTCCCACCAGCAATGTAGGAGTATCCCAGTCTCTGCACATCCTAGCCAGCATTTATTGTCTTCTGCTTTTTTGAACTTCGTTGTTGTTACTGGTGTGAGATAATATCTCATTGTTGTTTTAATTTGCTTCTCTCTACTGGATGGCCAAACTTCGTCTCTCATACTTTGGACATATTGTCAGGAGGTACCAGTCAATGGAGAAGGATATCATGTTTGGTAAGGTATAGGGTCAGAGAAAAAGAGGAAGACCCCCAGCGAGAGATGGCTTGGCAAAGTGGCAGCATCAATGGACTCAAGTATGGCAAGTAGTGAGGTTGGCCCAGGATCGAACAGTGTTTCGTTCTGCTGTGCATAAGGTCGCTATGAGTTGGTACCAACTCGATGGCACCTACCAACAACAACAGTGACTAATGGTCATGAACATTTCTTCATATGTTTGTTGGCTGCCTGAATCTCTTCTTTGGTGAAGTGTCTGTTCATGTCCTGCTCCCATTTTTTAAATTGGTTTGTCTTTTTTCTTATAGCGGTGTTGTAGTTGCCTATGTTGTTGTTGTGAAGTGCTGTCGAGTTGGTTCCGACCCATAGTGACCCTGCATAGGGTTTCCGAGTATGCCCTTGTCTGATACGTCATTGCAAAGATTATTCCCTATTCTTCGGGCTCTCTTTTTACTTTTTTGGTGAAATCTTTTGATGCACATAAGTGAAACTGTAAATCTTAATGAGATCAGAGACCTCTTCTTTCCCCTGCAGAATGACTGGTAGGTTTGAACTGCCGACCTGTGGTTAGCAGCTCAATACTTAACCCACCGTGTCAGCAGGGTTCCGACTCCCTTGGAAACTACAGCATTATAATTATTTATGGTGACCATTCTATCAGCCGTCATCCAGTAGATTTTTATTAAGTACTTGTAAGCACGGTGGAAGTCCTGGTGTGGCGCTGTGGGTTAATGGACTTGACTGCAAAACTCATTTGGCGGTTTAAGCTCACCCTATACAGGGAGTGCTATGGGTTGGAACCGACTCGATGGCGCTTAACAAGAAACAAGCACAGTGGGCCACAAGGGTGGATGATTCTTGGTCCTTGTAGCAAGGAGCTGTCAGTGTGGAGGACGGAGACAGGTGCTGTGACCAAGGTCTGTGCAGAGTTCTATGGAGAACCAAGGAGTCACTAGGAAGGGTTTCACAGAGGAAGGAGAACTTGCACTAACTCTTGAGAGCCTAAGAGTTCTTATAATCACGTGGGAGTGCAAGTGGTTTACATGCTTGGCTGGCTACTGAAAGTCTGGCGATTTTAGTCCACCCAGAAATGCTGTGGAAGAAAGGCCTGGTGAGGGACTTTTCAGAAACCAGCCTCAGGAACTCTTCTGTAGCACAGTTCTCCTCTGACACACATGGTCGCCAGGAGTCAAAACCATCTCTTCAGCAACTGATTACATTGTCCAGAGAACCCTTGGGGGATCTAGAGTCCTGTAGTGGTCACTTCAGGCCATGTGACAAATGCTTCCAACTTTGCTCACTATGTGTATAACTCACTGCGTGTATAACTGCTTTACCTGCAAGGGGAAAGCACTGAAGTGGAGTTGCTTTCAGAACACCCTGGCCAGCATTCTGCCGCCTCATTGTGTGGCCAAGGGCTGCTCTCAATGGTATAATCTAAGCTTTCACCTGGACTCAAGGAACGAAACAATGATGTGTAGTACAGACTTACTTTGAAGATGCTGCAGGTTCACCCCCAGAGTACCTTAGTAAAGTCAATATCCTAGTGAGTCTTATGAATGTTTTGGTTTCCCAGTGTGTCTGTAAGTTACGTTTACACTACTGTGTAGTCTATTAAATGTGCAATTGTTATTAAGTGCTGTTGTGTCAATTCTAATGTATATCAGCCCTGTTTAGGGGCTGCTGGTGGGTTTGGTCTGCCGACCTTACAGTCATCAGTCCAATATTTATCCTACAGTGCCAGTGCAGGACTCTCAAGTGTACAAGAGCATTATGGGGAAAGTTTGATATATTGAGGGAATTACCAAACTGTGACACAGAGCCATGAAATAAGCACATGCTGTTGGAAAAATGGTGCTGATACACTTGTTTGACACAGGGTTGCCACAAACCTTCAATTTGTGAAAAACTGAAGAAGTACAGTAAAACAAAGCATGCCTGTAGATGTTTTCAATTGGGGATATATATATAT